ATTAGCAAATCTACAAGCTAAAATTAACAACCTTACAAGTACAAATAAGAAATCTACAAGTTTACATCATCAAACCTACAAGCTAATTTTAGAAATCTTACATTAGAAAACCTGAAAGCTACAGTAAGCAATTGTACAAGCTAAAACTAGCAAATGTGAGGATTGTGTTGTCTGTTGTTGTGTTTTCTGTGTCACCACCTCTCAGTTCTCCTCAGCTTGTTTTCCTGCCTTTTCTCAGTTAATCATCCTCACCTGTCTGTGATCACCAATCAGTCTTCCCTCCAGGTGTTTCCTGTCTCTCTGTTTGCATAAAGACTGGTCATGTCCTCCATATCCTCACTGGCTCATTATATGGAATGACCCCATCAGTCTCGGTCCTCCCTGTGTTTCCCTGTGTCTTCTTTTGTAAGTTTTGCTGCTTGTCAGCTTTTTGCTTTATTTAATAAATCCTTTTATTTATTGAAGCCTTTGTGTCTGCCTGCTCTTGGGTTCATTCACTCCCGACCTTGACAGCAAGCCTATAGGCTAACATATCAATATACTAACATTTACAAATCTACAAGCTAAAACTAGCAAACCTATGAGCTAACCTTAAGCTAAAAAACCCACAAGATAACTTAGCTAAAAAATTTAAGTAATAATAATAATTTTGCTGGAGAACTTTGACACCATTGATCCATAGAAACTAGTTATGAAACCTGTCAGTGATGCAAAAAACTGGGAATTGCTGCCATAGCATCGAGTAGACCATGAACTCCTCTGTGGATTTAAGAGTTCTATAAATGTGAGGGTTTGGGTTAGAGGTGAGTAATTTTAGAAACTGGCACAAACTTGATTATTGTGCATGTCCTGAAAGTAATGGTTGATGTGTGTGTGTACACCTAAACATTGGAGATTGAACAGAAACTAAGAGACTTCTGCTTCTTGTGTCCTCGAGTGGTTTGACTCTGGTCGTCTAAATATGACCCAAGAAGGTAAGAGGGAATTGTTATCTATTCAAACAGAAGGTTTGGGGAACACTGTGTTCCTTTGGAAGCTTGGTGGTGGTCTCTTATGTAAGGCTTGGTTCTGTCTGGCAGCAGAACAGAGCCTCAGTAACAGAGTAACACTGCTAATTAAGACCAGAGGTGGATCCTCTCAGACTCTGAGTCTGTTCATGTTGTCATGTTGGTAGAATAAATGTACCAGACTATTTTTGGAGCAGGTTTGTTTTTTTACAAGCACTGAGTTCAGGGAAGGAAACGGACAGTTGTATCCTAACCTACATGGACCATCTCGCAGGTTTTGCGCCTACGTAGAACCCACAACCACACTGACCACATTGTATGGAGGACCAAAACTGRCATAATTAAAAATAAAGCTAAACTGTATAATATGTTGGAACTAAGCTGGAAAAATAAATATGATGGTCAATTAAATGATAAAACRTGSGGCAGAAGCAGAGGGGTGGCCRGGGTTGCAAGTGCCACCCCTGGCACCTGATTGGYTACCCARAYGCCACTCACAAATACACTGGAGGTAGCCACACGGTGGCTCAGTTGGTAGAGCTGTTGCCTCCAAGCAAAACAGCTGTCGGATTGAATCCCGGCCAGGAACCGTTCTAGGTAGAGTTTTCATAGTCTTTATGTGTGAGTTTTTTTCCAGGTGCTCTGGTTTCCTCCCACAGACAAATAACATGGATGTTARGCTAATTGGTAACTCTAAATTGCCCCTAGKTGAGGGTGAATGCTTCTATGTCTCGTTGTCCCTGTGATGGACAYCAGCCCGTCCAGCCAGGGTGTACCCCACCCCTTGCATAATGACTGCTGGAAATGGGCACCAGTGAACCTCAAGATCCTGAAAGGAAGAAGCAGKTTAAAATGATGTGAAAGGCACCATTTTAAATTGATGATTTTACAGCACTATACTGCATGTTAGTGATTGCAGCTCCCACCACACCAAATTTAAGCTCAATATGTCTAAACTTTGCTGAATTGTAACAATTTTTTAGAGTTTAACGTTGGTGGCCGTCTTTGATTTACATTTGAATTCTGAATCTGTTGGTTATTGCTCTTAGCTACCATCACACAAAATGTCAGTCTTATATCTCTAGTTTATAGTAGTTTTCTTTTTTAGCTTACARTCTTGGATTTTTGATTTGCAATCAGAATCTATTAGGGATTTCTGTCAGCTCCCAACACACCAAATTTCAGCTCAGTAACTCAAAAAATGTCAGAGTAGTCATTTGGAATTAGGTGTGSTGTGTATTGAATTTTTGATTTGCATTAAGAATTTGTTAAAATTTATTGTTGGCTACTATTACAATAATTTTCTGCCATTTGTGTTTAAAATCAGCTGAAATGCATCTCTTTCTTAGAATAAAATTAACCATTAGCTTAAAATTTAGATTCACATTCAGGATGTCATAGGGATTGGTCTTGGTTACCACCACACCAAATTTTAGCTCAATATTTCTAAATATGGCTGTGTTATAGCCATTGGAAAATAGCTTTGGTGGCCATCTTGGATTTTGTATTTTCATTCCTATTTTGTTAAAAAATGAAGTGTAGGCATAAATTCAGACTGGAAGACTTTCCAACTCACCTCCTCCATCCAATAGGGCGGCTGTGGCAGAGTGGTTAGGGGAGTCGTCCTGGAAATGGAAGGTCACCGGTCACCTAATGCCTCTGAAGTGTGTCCCATCAGTAATGTGATTGGCACTGATTAGTCTCCACAGCTGATTGTACATGTCAGCTTTGTAGAGACCTAATAGAGTGCTGTGTGAATGGGTAAATGAGGACACAGATTGTAGTGTGAAGCACTTTGAGTGTCCTGGATGAATAGAAAAGCACTATATAAGTACAGTCCATTTACCAATCGCTGCGTCACGCTCCCAACTGCAGTCAACCAGCATCAGCTCCTCKCCTCACCATACCAATCAACTCACAGGGATCCAGATCTGAAGGCCCAGTACCCAAGGATCAGTCTGCTCTCCAGACATGTTCAACCACCCCGCCTCCACCTTCATCTCAGGGCTCAGAMTCTTCTTGGCTACCCCTTCCCTCTGGCCTCYACACCATCACACCAGTGTCCGAGCCCCGGGCGGGAAGACGTTATTCCTAAATCCTAAGCTGATTGCTGGCTCACAGTAGTTCACTGCACCCACATCTTCTGCCGGGGCTTGAGCGCCAAAGAACTTTCTCATATCAATAAAATTGTTTAACTGCCGTATTTCTGTGTGTGAGTCTTTCCAGGTTGACTTGCTCTTGGCTACTACTATATAAATGTTCAGCAGTGTGTGTTTAAAAATTAAATTATATTCCTTTGTAAAATTCAAATTCATTAAATAATTTATTWATTATTAAAATAAACGTGGCATGGTGGCTCAGTTGGTGCCTCTCAGCAAGAAGGTCGCCAGATCAAATCCCGGCCCAGGGACCTTTCTGGGTAGAGTTTGCATGTTCTCTCCGTGCATGCGTGGGTTCTCTCCGGGCTCTCTGGCATCCTCCCACAGACCAAAAACATGACTGTCAGGTTAACTGGTATCTCTAAATTGTCCCTAGGAGAGAGTGAATGGTTGTCTGTCTCAATTGCGATGGACTTGCGACCTGTCCAGGGTGTACCCCGCCCCTCGCACTGTGACTGCAGGATATGGGTACCAGTGACCCCCGTGACCCTGAAAGGAAGAAGCGTGTACAGAAAATGRATGGATGGATGGGTTAGCTTAAATTAGGACTAGCAATCAGCATGTGTTTGTGATCAATATTACCCACACCACAACAAATCTCATCTCAATAAGTCTTAAAATGGCTGAAATGTGGCCATCTTGAATTTAGAATTTGGTAAATATTGCTTTTGGGTACTAATACACTAATTTTCAATTTTGTGTAAAAATGGCTGGATTATAGTGCCTTTTTAAAATTAGCATTTTCAATTAGCTTGAAATTGTGACTTGTATTCAGCATGTTTTTGATCGTTCTTATGCTTCTTAAAACGACTGAATTAGAGCAATTTGAAATTAGCTGTGGTAGCCATCTTGAATTTTCAAATCTAGTAGGTTCATTTATTTGTATGGGCCTCCTGCCACCCCTTGAAAAAAAAAATCTAGCTCCCCTTCTGTTCCTGGATAACAACGACTTCAAGTCTTTGGTTCAGCTTTAGCTTACTGCTTCTTCCACGATCTAAAGGAAATTTTCTGACCGAAACAGGATTTCCTTCACCGTGGATAAGAAGTTATTTGACTCAACGCCAATCAGCTGCTGTTCATAAAATAGAAGAAGGAAAGCATGATGAGAGTTGTGTCCTGTAATGTTTTACTAACCCTGTCACATTATAGCATTTTAGACAACTTATGCCGACTCACAAAAATTATAGGCATCAATGAGAGAGTATTTAAAGAATCAACTGGAAGCCTCTTTTAGGCATGTACTGTAATACTAACAAATTGATCAAATATATAACTTTTATTAGTAATTTAGACATATAAAATTCAAAAGTTGTCTAAACTGTTATAGTGTGACAGGGCCTTTAATATGG